TTCTGAGCTACCACACTGCCCCCTGTAACCGTGACCGGGGCTGGGGAGTTTCACCTCCAGTCCTTGCTCACAACACTCCACCCCAGGAGGCCAGTGCACCCTGTGTGTGGGACCCCCAGACCTCCCCTTCTGCAGCTCTCCCTTTGGTGGGTTCTGATTTTCAGCCTTCTGCTGTGATGAAGCCATAATCACAAGCACAGTGCCTTCCCGAGTTCTGTGCGTGGTGGTAGCAAATTGCCCAACCTGAGGGGGTGATGGGACCCCCGAGTTGGCAGCCAGTTGGTCAGACATGCGGGTGGCCTGGGCGCCCCAAGCTCACGGCTGGCATCTGAGGTGAGGGCAGTCTTGTAGGCCTGTGCCCTTCACCTCCATCTGAAGTCTCCCTAACTCTGGGAAGTCGGTGTCAGCACTCACTGCAGATGTGAGTGTACTTTGCAATGAAAAACGCACTATTTCCCCCAAAACTGACTGATGTGAATTGAATTGTGTCCCCCAGAAATCTGTGTCAACTTGGCTAGGCCATGATTCCCGGTATTGTGTGACTGTCCTCCATTTTGTGATCTGATGTGATCATCCTATGTGTTGTAAATCCTAACCTCTATGCTGTTAATGAGGCAGGATCAGAAGCAGTTATGTTAATGAGGCAGGACTCAATCTACAGGATTAGGTTGTATCTTGAGTCAATCTCTTTTGAGGTATAAAAGAGAGAATAGAGCAGAGAGACAGAGGGACCTCATGCCACCAAGCAAGAAGAGCCAGGAGTGGAGCGTGTCCTTTTGGACCTGGGGTCCCTGCGCTGAGAAGCTCCTAGACCAGGGGAAGCTTGATGACAAGGTCCTTCCCCCAAAGCTGACAGATAGAGACAGCCTTCCCCTGCAGCTGGTGCTCTGAATTTGGACTTCTAGCTAGACTAGAAGAGACTGTGAGAGAATAAATTTCTCTTTGTTAAAGCTATCCACTTGTGGTATTTCTGTTACAGCAGCGCTAGATGACTAAGATGCCAACCCATGATGTTCTTGGGTTGTGGGTGTTTTTTACTTTCTTCTTTATGCTTCTCTGTATTTTCCAAGATATCCATGACCAGCAGGTATTTCTTTTGCAATTAAAAAAAATGAGGGTGTTTTGGATGACGACGTTTAAGGTGATTTGCAGACAGCACAGGCTCGAAACTGCACTCTTTCAATGCCAGCTGTGGTGGGCAGGGCAGCTCCTCCTGCTCCCTGACGGACCGGGTGTGAAATCCTCCCTCCGCCATCAAGCACTTGGTACCAGACACCTCTGGGAGAGTGTCAGCCCAGAGAACACTCGGGAAGCAGGCCTAAGCTGGCAGCATCTGGGAGCAGGCCTGGCTGCAGCTGCAGGAACTGCTGGAAGGATGAGGGGGCCAGGCAGCTGAGGGGAGCGGTAGGCCCAGGTGCCAGAGAGGAAGCGGCATTGCAGACAGATAGACGGACCTTTAGACGTAGAATCTACAAACGTGAGACCTACGAGGCGGGATCAGAGAAACGGCCTAGTGGGGTGCTTCTGCCACAAATGCATGATGAGATTTGAGGGCGCTTTCTGCTTGAAGCACCTGAGGCGGAATAAAGAGTGGGAGTGGACCCAGCTACTGCTCGCTGTGTGACCATGGGCGAGTCACTGACCCTCTCTGGGCCCTGCTAACTCATCCGAGAACTGGAAACGAGAATCGTTACCTGTGAAGGTGGTGCAAGGCTAGAAAAGGGGGGTGTCAAAGTAGCCATCAGGGCAGTGGCTGCTGGTGATGGTGAGCTACGAATGAGGAAGGGGGGAACTGAGGGAGCAAGCACTGTCTGCTTTTCTTGTAGGCCCATGCCAAGCTCCTTCCACCGGCAGCTTATTTAACAGTCACAGCCACCCTGCAGAGAAGCCAGGCCCCAGGAGGCAGCCCCACCACTGGGCTCAGGTCGCTGGGCTGGGGGGGGTAAATGGATTGTTAGTAGGAAAACCACAGCTCTCCCAGACTTGGAGGAGGGAGAAACCAGCCACTACTGGGCAGGGGACAGAGCCACTCGCGCTTCCACGCTGCTTGCAGTTGCCAGCGTCCCAGGAGTCAACACCCGGGGGGTCGAGGCTGCGGCACTCCATACGTGGCGCCCTGGCTGGCTAGCGTGAGACCCGAGTGGCTGGGCGGCTTAGGGGCTGCGATGCTCCAAACCTGGGAGGGGTCGCAGGAACCGAGCTCAGCGCCCACAGCACCAGCAATCTTGTGCAGAGAGCAGGCTCCACAGCAAGTGACTGCCAGGGCCACACAGGCACACAGATACACAGAGACACACACACACACAGATACACACACAGAGACAGACACACAGACAGACACACACACATATAGACACAGACACGCACAGATACATACACACACAGATACATGCACACACAGATACACACAGACACACAGATACACACACACAGACACAGCCTCACACACTCACTCACACACACCACCATAGATACACACACACATTCACACTCATAAAGAAACACACACACAGAGACACCTACACCACACAGACACACAGAACATACACACTCACACAGAAACATACCACACTCACAGACACTAACACAGATACACGGACACAACCACACACACACGCAGAACACACACACTGACACAGACACATAGCACACACAGAGACACAACCACACACACCACTGAGACACACATACACTCACACTCAGAGACACACACAACCCGTCACTCATACACACAGACACATACACACACCACACACACGCAGACACACACACGCAGAGACACACACAGAATGCATACACGCACACACAAACACACAGAGGTACACACACACAAAGACACACACACTCACAGACACACACAGTCAGCCTTCATTCCTGGTCGTTCTGACAGGTCAGCATGAGCTTGGAGGGGCTGGAGGAGGAGGGGGGCAGAGGGAGCACAGAGCATGGGGGGAGCAGGAGACAGACGCCCGGGTGGATGGGAAGGTCCTCTGCAGATAAAGCACGTGTGCGCACACAGAGACACGCGTGCACACACACAGAGACACGTGCACATACACAGACACACATGCGCACGCAGACACGTGCGCACGCACAGAGACGTGTGCACACACGTGCGCACACAGACACACGTGCGCACACACAGAGACACGTGTGCATGCACATGTGCCTGTCGTACATTTGAGCTGATTTGTCTACCATCTCCCTTCCCGTGGGGTCACGGCCATGTTTGCGCACCGCTGGCCTCCTCAAGTACGACAAGGAGCGCCACGTGCGGCCCTTGACACACGGCAGGCGGCATTTGTGGGTGACTGAGCTCTGGCGAGCCGGTGGGGGTGTCAATGGTGCGACCTGGGTGAGGTGGCTCGTCTAGAAACCCACCCCAAGGAACAAGGGCTCTGGTTACGGAAGCAGCCTTTCCGGGACTGGTCGGGAGCTGGGCGCCAAGGCGTTTGTCCTTGAACCAAAGGAAAGGAGGCCAACTCCAAACAGGAGCCCTCCTGAGGGGCCAGCACCCACCTCTCCATCACAAGGCCCCTTCCAGCGCCCCTGCCACACCCTCAACACCCCCGCTGCCCTCTGCTGGCCTGCGGGCACCCCCGCTGTCCTCTGCGCCTCTCAGGCCTCTGCCACGGCGGGGGGTGGATGGCTCCTCTGAGGTGGGGTCAGGTGTTGTCCCAGCCTCCTAGCACTGCAGTACCACAAACACTACAAGTGGTCTGAGGGAGGAAGAGGCTCTGAACCCTTCTCGTGTGTGGCCTTTGAGTAGCAGCGACTTTTGTCACTTCTGAGGTCCCCGCCGGCTTCCCTCAGCCATTGCCACCGTCAACCTCTTATGGATTGAATTGTGGCCCCCCAAACGTGTGCTGGAATCCTGACCCCTGTGCCTGTGGCTGCAGTCCTGTTTGGGAATAGGATTTTCTTCGATAAGTTAGTGAGGCCAAGCCAGCGTAGGGTGTGTCCTAGACCTAGCCGCCTCTGGGCTAGAAAGGAGCAGATTAGGCACACACACAGGGGAGAACAGACCCCACGTGAGGCTCGTCTACAAGACGAGGAGCCCAGGAATGCCCAGAGCTGCCGCCAAGGCTGAGCCCGTTTTGGGTGTCTCGCCTCCGGAACTGTGGGAGAATAAATGCCTGCTCTTCAAAGCTGCCCACTTGTGGTGTTTGTGGTACAGCAGTGCTGGGAGGCTGGGACAACTCTGCCGGCTCCGGGGGAAGGCTTGCTCTCTGCCGGCTCCGGGGGAGGCTCGCTCTCTGCCGGCTCCGGGGGAAGGCTTGCTCTCTGCCGGCTCTGAGGGAAGGTCCTTGTCTCTCAGCCTCTGCAGCCCCAGCGTTCCTCGGTTCCTCAATGATCTCCACGTGGCATCTGTCTTTCCCGTTTGTGCCTGCTGGTCTGTGTGTCTAAGCTGCTCATTACATCACTCAGAAGGGACGAGGTTTAGGACACACCCTGCCCTGACATGGAGCCTGAAGGTTGTGTAAATGATTAAGCGCTCGGATGCTAACCGAAACGTTGGGGATTTGAGTCCATTCTGAGGCGCCTTGAAAGAAAGACCTGCCGATCGACTTCTGAAAAATCAGCCACTGAAGACCCTATGGAGCACAGTTCTCCTCTGACACACGTGGGGTCACCATGCGTCGGAGTCGACTCAAGGACAACTAGAAACTGGAAAACACTGGTACGCCTCATTACCATAACAAAGAAAATCCTGTCCAAAAAAGGGATTATTACATCCACAGGTATAGGGGCGAAGTTTCCAACATATGTTTTGGGAGGACACAATTCGATCCATAAACATTCCAATTTTTCCAGAGATGGAAATATTCCTATTTCTAAATGTCAGTGACTCGTTCTGCCTTTCTAGGAGCTCTGCGAAGGTCACACAATATACCTGGAGGTTGGATCCCACCTGCAGCCTGTCTGGACCCCTCTGGGGGTAAAAGGATGAAGGGAAGGCCTCTTACAGGTAAAACAGGTGGGGAACAAGAATGGGGTACCTGGTGGATTTCGTGCCAGCCGTTCTCATCCCTGCAGCACACAGTGGCGTGTTCGTGAAGAAGCAGTTCACAGCAGTAAGGGTCACCCCCGACGATGGCCGTGTGGTAGAGCGGGGTCAGCCCGTAGCTGTCCTTGTAATCTGGTGATGCTCCAAGTTCTAAAAGGGTCTAGAGAAAAAAATAAAAGGTGTGGTCTGTAACGGATTAGACTGTGTCCCGCAAAATGTGTGTTGAAATCCTAACCCCTGTACCTGTAAACGTGCCCCTGTTTGGAATTAGGGTTTTCTCTGTTATATGAATGAGGTCATACCAGAGTAGGGTGGGTCCTAAACCTAATCATTTTTGAGTTATAAAAAGAGCAGGCTAGACATAGAGACACACACAGGGGGATGACGCCGCATAAAGACAGACGGACACAGCAGACGCATCTACAAGGCCAGGACCTCCAACGATGTTTCCGGCAGCTACTAGAGGCTGAAATAGACAAGGAACGACCTCCCTCTAGAGCCACACCCTGAATTTAGACTTCTACCCTCCTGAAGTGTAAGACAATATGTTTCTGTTCTTGAAAGCCACTCACCGTGGAGTTTTCTCGTCACAGCAGCTCTAGTTATGTAAGACAGGGTCATTGAACCCATGACATCTTTTGCACAGAGTGAGACCATCAAGACAGAAGCGTTGGGGTCACACTTCAGCAGGCCAAGGCTGACCCAAATCCTGGGTTCCTGGTGCTTTTCCTGGGCCTTGTGGAATTATGGAGGTCCTCATTTTAGACAAGAGTCCCTGGGAAGCATCAGTGGCTAATGCACTCAGCTGATAAACGAAAGATTGGAGGTACAGGCTCCCCCAAAGATGCTTCAGAAAAAAACCCTGGTGATCTAGCTCCAAAAAATCAGCCACTGATAACCCTACAGAGCGCAGTTCTGCTCTGACACAGACGGGGTTGCCTTGAGTCAAAGCTGACACCAAGCCAACTAGTTTTGTTTTCTTTTTAATTTTAGACAAGGTTGCTTTGCCCAAAAATAGCAAATGGTGCCCAAACATGCTGGACTGTCTCATCCGGGATGAAGAGGCGTCCCACAGCCGTGCTCCCGTGGAATTCTGACTTCTCCGTGGCCTGACGATACACAGTGTACCAGAGGTGCAGTCTTGGAGCCCAACAAAGTGAAGGTCAACATTTACAGGAAAGAACGAGCGCTTTGTGACCTACGTGCACCTTAGAAAACTATCTTAGCGTGCATTCTCACGGTGACAACCCTAGCAAGTGTTGGGAGAACACTTTTGTTTCAGGAGGGAGACAACTGACCAAGTGCAACCGATGTGCAGCTGAGAAACCTGTGACTTCAGAGACAAGTCCTCATCTTTGGGGTCAACCTGTAGCTTCGCCAGGTTCCTGATAAAGCATGGGCTTGGGGCGTTCGCCATGCTACCCAGACACTTCAAAAACACTGTGTACTTTGCTAAATTATGCCAGCAGGCACCATACACTTGCGCACCGAAGTTCACCGCAGGATGATTCACAACAGCCAGAAGGTGGACTTGACTGAAGTGTCCATCAACAGATGAATGGACATGCAAAATGTGGGATATCCACACGATGGAATATCACTCGACCGTAAAGAGAAACAAAGTTCTGACACGTGCTATGACATGGATGAACCTTGAAAACGTTATGTTGAGTGAAATAAGTTAGACACAAAAGGACACGTATTGTATAGTTCCACTTATATGAAGCATCTGTTGTTGTTAGATGCCGTCGAGTTGGTTCCAACACATAGCAACCCTAGGTACAACAGAACAAAACACTGCCCGGTCCTGCACCACCCTCACAATCATTTATACGTTGGAGCCCATTGTTGCAGCCACTGTCTCAATCCATCATGTTGAGGGTTTTCCTCTTTTCACTGACCCTCTACCTTGCCAAGCATGATATCCTTCTCCAGGAACTGGTCCCTCCTGATAACGTGTCCAACCCTAATGCACACCTTTCCTGATTTTAAACCATGCAGGATCCCTTTGTTCTGTTTGAAGGACTGCCTCTTGGTCAATGGAAGGTTCCTTATGTGAGACGAAGCCAAGGAGCATTCTGGCTGTACTTCTTCCAACACAGACTTGATCATTCTTCTGGCAGTCCGCGGTGTATTTAATATTCTTCACCAACACCATAATTCAGAGGCATCAATTCTCCCCCAGTTTTCCTTATTCACTGTCCAGCTCTCACATGCATATGAGGCAACCAAAAACAGCCTGGCTTGGGTCAGGCGCCCCTTCGTCTTCAAAGTGACATCTTTGCTTTTTACCACTTTAAAGAGGTCTTTTGGAGATGTGCCCAATGTACTATGTCATTTGATTTCCTGACTGCTGCTTCCATGGGTGTTGATTGTCGATCCAGGTAAAATGAAATCCTTGACAACTTAGTTGTGCTCACGAGGGACAACTTCAATATTTTCTCCATTTATGATGATGTTACTTTTTGTTCCAGTTGTGAGGACTTTGGTTTTCTTTAGGTTGAGGTGTAATCCACACTGAAGGCTGTGGTCTTTGATCTTCATCAGTAAGTGCTTCAAGTCCTCCTCACTTCCAGTAAGCAAGGTTGTGTCACCTGCATATTGCAGGTTAACGAGTCTTCCTCCAATCCTGATGCCCCATTCTTCTTCATATAGTCCAGCTTCTCGGATGATATACTCAGCATACAGATTGAATCAAGTATGGTGAAAGGATACAGACCTGACGCACACCTTTCCTAATTTTAAACCCTGCAGTATCCCCTTGTTCTGTTCTAAGAACTGCCTCTTGGTCTATGTACAGGTTCCTCATGAGCACATTGAAATGGTCTGGAATTCCCATTCTTCGTAATGTTATCCATAATTTGTTATGATCCACACATCAGATGCCTTTGCATAGTCAATAAAACACAGGTAAACATCTTTCTGGTATTCTCTGCTTTCAGCCAAAAACCATCTGACTTCAGCAATGATATCCCTGGTTCCACGTCTCCTGAATCAGGCCTGAATTTCTGGCAGTTCCCTGTCGATGCACTGCTGCAACTATTTTTGAATTATCTTCAGCAAAATTTTACTTGCGTATGATAGTAATGATATTTTTTACAGTTTCCGCATTGTTAGATCACCTTTCTTTAGAATGAGCACAAATAGGGATCTCTTCCAGTCAGCTGGCCAGGTGGCTATCTTCCAAACGTCCTGGCATGGACCAGTGAGCGCTTCCAGCGTTGCATCCATTTGTTGAAACATCTCAACTGGTATTCTGCCAATTCCTGGAGACTAGTTTTTCTCCAATGCCTTCAGTGCAGCTTGGACTTCTTCCTTCAGTACCATCGGTTCCTGATCATGTGCTCCCCGCTGAAATGGTTGAACATCGACCAGCTCCTTTTGGTACACTCATCTGTCAGCTTGTCATAGTGGCGGCTTGTGTGTTGCTGCGACCTGGAAGCTATGCCACCACGATTTTAAATACCAGCAGGATCACTGTTGTGTGATGAATTACTTAGTACGGCCTTTCTCACCGCAGTCTTCTAACTCCCACCCAGGGGAGTGATTGGGGCCGTGCAAATAAGATAATTCTGGCCCACCAAGGGGATTGGTCAGTTTTGCCTTAAAAGAGAGCCAATTCCAGCGCGGAGAGAAGAGAACACCATCACCAAGGAAGGAGAGACCTGCAGGAGACGGCGCAGTGGGCTTCCCGCCCCACAGAGCGAGAAAGCTGAGTGCCTTCGGGCAGAGACTGAGGACCAGGAAGAAGCCTACGCCTGACTCACGACTTTGGGACTCGCCAGCCTCCACAAGTGCGTGAGCCATTCCCTTTATACGGTTCATGAGTTCTGTAAGACGTTGCAGCGAATTAGGGAACCCAAAGACAGGAGGGAGAGTACCGAGGGGTGAGGGAGTAGTTGATGTTCGAGATGATGGAGTGGGACAGCGATCTGAAAGAACTGGACATTTGGGACATCTTTAACCTTCACCTCATAGGAACCAGCTTTGTGCTGATCCTTATTCAAAAAATCATTCGTTTAGTCACCTATGGTGGATTGGTTTCAGCAGAGCTTCCACACTAAGATAGACTAGGAAGAAGGATCTGGCGATCTACTTCTAAAATAATTGACCAATGGAAACCTTATGAATAGCAGTGAACATGAAATATGGAGAACAGACAGATACACAGAGACCAAAGTTCATTAGTGCTTATCGGGGTGGATGGCAGAAGGAAATGGGGAGGTATTGCTGAAGGGCCACTGAGTTTCTCTTCGGGGTGATGAAAAAATTTGGAAAGGGGTAATTGCACAACATGGCGGATATAATTAATGCCACTGAATTATACACTTTAAAATGGCACTTTTTTTGTTGTATATACCGTACCACTATAAAAATGTCAAAATTACAAAGAAACACAGTGTTCGGCAGACAAAGTCAGCACGGAAGGCCATGCTGGGGGAAGAGGAGACTTGTAATCCACACCTCTGGGATTTGGTCCCCAGTACTCAGAGGCAGCCACAGGCAGGCTGGCCGGGTGCCCGCAGGCTGGGTTTGTGGGATCCTTCAGTGGCTGGGGTTAGGTTTCAGTGCTGGCCTTACTGCTGGAGAGTGCAAGCCTTCTGACTGCAGTAACTTCTAAAGATAATACAACAATGACAGAGAGCAGGAAAGACGGGGCCACGGTGCACCAGCTGCAGTCAGAACCACTCACAAGTACCCCAAGGGTGGCCATGGGGACGGGGGCTGGGGTAGACGCAGGGGCGATCAGAAAGAGAGGAGGTAGCCCCCAGGGAAGACGAGCGCTGGCATTCACCTTAAGGGCAACCTGGTTTCTCAGGCGGGCAGCCTTGTGCAGGGCGGTCATCCCGTCTTTGGCACGGAAGTCCAGATGAGCACCGCCATTTTTTAGCGCTTTGATCACCTCCACGGAGTCGTCCAACTGCGCGGCCAAGGTCAGGGGCGTCTCTAGAGAACACAAACACACACTCTTTAGGACTAATACCTGGGGCAGCCGCCAAGTCCCATCACTTGCTAAGCATAGTCCAAACTTCTGAAGACGCACTTGAAGAACTAGGAACCCAGTGTTGACGGCTCCTGCCCACCAGTCAGCCCCACCAATAGCTCAGGCAACCCCAGGAACAATGCAAGTGACACATGGGTCACTTGCAAATCGAAACGGGGCAGAGGCAGGGTTCCAAGATTATAGTGCTATAAACTCTTGAGTCAAGAAGACTTCATCCTCCTCCCTTCCCAATCTGAATGCAAAATCCCACACTGCCATCCCGGTCCCTTATCCTGGGAGTGATCAACTAAGGTCATGATCAGAGATGAGAAAAGCAGACACTGCCTTTCTCCGTTTCAACTTCACAATGGTTAGGGGCATCTTGCTAGATGCCGGGAATTAGGTTGCAGAAATAAAACATAAAAAAGACAAGGAGTCCGTGTTGTCCGGGAGCTCTTACCCCGGACAGCAGAGAGACTGAACAAAGATGGCCCAACGTGCCAGGCAGGGCAGAAGCCCCGGACGCAGGAGGATAAAGTCCACCTTGTGGGGGGAAGGGGCTGAGAAGGACCCCCACCCCCATGAGGGAGATGGCAGTGGCTCCGTCTGCAGTTGTCTGAGTCTGAGAATCTAAATTATTTGCTGTAACACAGGATTGTTCCTACTCTTAACACTCCTCATGCCCAACACGGCAGCTGTTGAGCCAGGTGCGTTATTTTCTTGTGGCTAATTTTAGAGACGTTCACATTGTTAAAAAGTACAAAGAGTAATACGACAACATACAACCTCCCGTGACCCAGAAATACCAATAATTAATAGTCATCCTGTTCTCAAACACATTTTGATGATTTAAAAAAAAAACAACCTGTTACTGTCAAGTCAATTCCGACTCACAGCGACCCTACAGGACTGAGCAGAACTTGCCCCCAGAGGGTTTCCAAGGCTGTAATCTTTATGGAAGCAGACTGCCACATCTTTCTCCTGCAGAGCGGCTGGTGGGTTTGAACCACCTTTCAGTTCGCAACCGAGCACTTAACCACTGAGCAACCAGGGCTCCTGTTTGGATGATAAAAGAACTGGGAAATTTTGCATAAGCTTGACTTTCCGTCTAGGTCACGCTACCGTCCATCCCCAGAAAAGGTGGCTTCATTGTGAATTTAGACTGAACAAGGCAGCTCTCGGTTTTTAGTTCTTACGGTGATTTATCCATCAGTTAGCACTGTTCTGAAGTGCTGTTTAAACTAACACAATTACCACACCCCAGAAATCACTCTGCAACTAGATTTTTGGTATTGGGACGCACAGAACCCTCTGACCCCGCAGCCACATGAACCATCCCAGTGCGTGTCTGTGTAGGTCTGTGATCCGGCCCATTTTACACTCTTGCTGATGGGGACCGCCCACTTCCCCTCTTCCCTCAATATGAACAATGTTCTCATGAGGGTCCTCTGTTGTCTGCACGTGACAAAACCAAAAAACCAACCTCGTTGCCATCGAGTGGATTCCAACTCATAGCTACCCATGATGGGGTCCTTCTTATGCAGGGACTTTAAGGAAAAATCGGAGCTCTCCAGGACAACCGAGGGACTGCCATTCCCGCCTCCATGCCAGCTCACCCCTTCAGATAAACCAGCATATTTCCACAGTGCGACTTTCATTCTCAGCAAGAAAAGGTCTCAACTTACTCAAGAACTTAAACAAGTATTTGTGCACCTATTAAGTGCTCAGCCCTGGCCAGGGGACGGTGACTGTCACAAAAGGAGAATAAGGCCTTTCTTAACTCTTATAAAACAGACAGGTAAATAGACAGGGAGATGGATGGGTGGG